AAAAAATCCACTATAAATTTACTACAATGTTAAATCATGTTATGCAAAACTTAGTATGTACACCCAAATTGCAAATACCTTTAAAACACTTTTCTACATATTGTGTAATACAATTAAATCGGGGTTCGTACACATTTCTGCACACGAAAATTAAGTACTTTTAAGGACTTTTAAGGACCATTAATGAAAAAATTAAGGACCTATGAGAAAATGGGAACTGAATAAATTCAATTAAAAATATTATCTATGCCTGAATTTCACTTTTGTGATACCATCCTAAAAATAAAATACATCTCTAAGTAGTCTGCAATATTACTAAACATGAATTAACATAATTATTAATCAGTTTGAGAATAAAATAAACTTTATGCAATTTATCAAGTAGCATTAAATATTTTACACTTACAACAGATGGACATATTTGAAAGAAGATCAGTGACATTTACGTTTTACTCACAGTTAGCTTTATGTTGATTTTTTTAAATTTCTCATTTTGTCACGTACTTGGTCAGTCTAGAGGTTGAGTAAATAGCAGGTAGATTTTATGTCAAACAGCATAGGTTAAAATGAGAAGTAAGATCATAATCAGCATGATTCAGAACAAAAGACTGAATGCTGTTACTGCTGCTGCTTGTCTAGAGAGAGACCTGCTCATTAGAACAAACCTGAAAGGCCTGATGTAGGTTCGCAAGTGTTGAAAGTTAGTCGGGCTCTGTTTGATGCAGTTAGTGTCGTACCTTCGTGTAGCATTTCAGGGGTTGTAACCCAGTTAATATACTTTAAGGTTCCAATAAGCCATTAAAGAACCAGAGGTGATAAGTAGTTTTGTATTATTTTAAGTCTCACTAGATGCAAAGAATAAGTTTTACTTGAATTTTTACGTTTTTGTGTTTTATCTTGTGACCACAGTGAGTATTAATGAAAGGCAATAACTCGCTTTAATACGTAGAGATAATTTTTAAGGGTAAGCAGTTAGTTATAAATAATTAAATTAGGTAATTAAATAACCTTAGTCATTATGGATTTACATGGCCACAATTAAATTTTTTTTAACACTATTTGTTAAAAAAGCCCTATTAAAATCAAAATCTAATCAAATTTCATATGTAATTCATAACATTGATTCTTAAATGATATTAGGATAATTACACATTAAAAGCTACAAAACCTTTATGTTTTGTAACAACACTCAACAAAATATTTATGTGTTATTTTAATTTGAAGCCTTCCCAAACATTTTGGCTAGTTTATATCGATTTCCTTCTCTTTAAGCATCTTTTCTAACAGTTAGAGATTTGTCTCAAAATGCAAACCAATGCTCTTGCTAGTTTCTGCATCAACCTAACTGCTTTATCTCCTAACCTAACTGCTTTATCTCCTAACTTGTCAACCTCTCCACAATGTACCTATGAGGGTTTACTTGATCTGGTAAAAGTTAAATAGTCGAAAACCCAACTGATGTGAAGCAAACTATCGCTATGTCTGAAAATAACTAAAATATCAAACAAAGGTTTAAATAAGCCTCTTATATAAAAAGAACTTAGAATACAAAGGCATGTTCTGATGCTAACAAAATCATTTACAGCTCACGGTGACGTAATTAAAGCAAGAACAGTCAAATTCAAACTAAAAGTGTGGACTAGTGGTCAAAGATCATACAATTTAATTTTAATTTAATCTGGCTCTGTAACTCTATCATATGAGGAAATAGAAATGGGAAATTATAGTAAAGGCTGAAATCATAAACAATTGGGTAATTTACATAATAATAACTGCACATTTTCTTTGAAGAATAATTTTTTCTATTATTTTCTTTCTTCAACACGTTTCCTTTTCATTTTAGAATTTTTGGATTTAATTAAAGATTTCTGTTATTCTAAAAAAACATGAAATGCATTTAGAATGCATAAAAAATGGCTAATTTTATTTCTTTAGTAATATAACATTCAGAAGAAATATATATGGTAAAGGCCGGTTACAGAGCCACCGTGGCAGAATTTTTAGAATTTAGTGACACAACCGAACAACAAAATCTGGAAATGGCAAAACTTTTAGAATTTAGAGCAGGCATTGGAAGCAGAATTTAGGCTCCACAGAGATTGCATCAGGTGGGAAAATGCCTAGTGCCAGCTCTGTGTATGATGCATTAAAACATATTAGATGAATCTTTTAAATTGTAAGTTTTCAATTTCTTTATTAATAAAAAAATTCCTTTCTATAACGCCTGCCCAAGTGACAAGATTAGAAGCATTTTTGATACTTTCTATGCTTGTGTCTAGTAAAAAGGAGAGAAAATAAAGGGAAGATAAACATGTTAAGGAAATGATTCTAGTATCAGTAGTAAAACATTCAAATATTATGTTTTCATTGTTCTTCCAGACGTTCTCCAAAAAATAAGAAATTACATCGCAAACTTTCAGTAAAATACATCCATTACATGTTGATACCATGGAGACATTTTTAATTTTGTCACATATTTCTCGAAACTTCTAGAATCGTGGGTCTATAAATCTTGCCTTCAAATCCTTCTAAACTTTCCAAGCTGCAATGGCTAAAATACTAAAGAAAAATTATCCCTACCAATTCAGTAACAGCAAAAAGCCAGAAATATTTTGGAAAAAAAAAGGAGGGAAAAAGTGTAAAATTTATTTTGTTAATCTTTGGATTATGGTAACTTGGCGATTTTTTGGCAAAAATTTGGCAACAAACCCTGCTACAGCAACCTGCTAGTTTTGTTTTGGACGCCATTTTGTTTTCACGAAGTAAAGGCATTTTTTTTTTTTTTTTTTAACATTCAACATTTTTTCCAACAATCTGCTAGCCGAATTACGCCTTATGCTAGAACTTTTATGGAACAAAAGTGCTTAATCATGACGAAGATTAGGTGCGCGAAATTGGGAGAAAGTGCAGAATCGCAAACTACTTGCCGCGTTTTTAAGAATTGCACATACACGGTATCATCCATGTACACGTCGACCTATTTTCACTTAAAAAAAATCCTAGAATTGCTCAAAAATGGCATTGCGCACACTCTTGACTTTATCCATGTACACTACTAAAGTCCTAGCTAGTAACTTTTATCGCCTTACCAAAATGTCGCCAAACTACCTGTTACCATATTCCAAAGATTAGACATTTATTTTATACAGAAAACTGATACATATTCTGAAAATTTTGAATATTCCAAGACAATTACATGGGAAAAACTTTTACTGTCAAAAAATTAAAAAGAAGATATTTTTAACTAATTACATAGCTAATTTTGCTTTTGCTAAGTGCCATTTCGTAAATTGTGCTTTATAGCATTATACCTTCTTTATTTTTATCCTTTTCACAAAGTCAAAATCTTAAGTCAATTATCTTAATTATCTTAAGTCAAAATATTGTATAATAAGTTGCCAAAATAAAATTTTATAATATGACAGCGAAAATTAAAAATGTTTTATTTTAATGTTATTTTTTAAATATAATTTCAATATACAGTCAAAAGTCGTTAATCCGGACCTCAAAGCTACAAACTTTCTGCGAATGCCTAATACCTTTACACATGCGCGTTTAATGTATAACGGACGGTATAGGCTAAGCTAAAATTATCTAATTATCTATTTCAGTTAATGTTGCAGATTGCGTTGTTCCTTAATCTTTGAACTGGAACCGGCTTATTATTTTTTGCAGACTGTTAGAGCAATTTTATAAAAGTAAGTTGGAACTTTCGATTATGTCAAATAGAATTTCTGATGCTGGATCTACAAAGGGAAAGCATGTTTCGATGTCCATCAAAAAAAAGTGGAATTACTGCAAAAAATGGATAAAGGCTCTTTGTTTCTCTAACCATTCCGAAATCTGTTTATCAATTTCACGCTGCTCTGTGCGGGAAGGGGGGGTCAAGGCGCGCAATGAACTGGAAGTTGATCTGTCAGAACTATCCTTATCTTCAGGGCAGATGTTTTTATTTTACTCGGCTTATAATGTAGTATTTCATCTCGATGTACTCCGTCTTTGATAAGATTTAAATCAAATTCTTGTCATTATAAATACCACGAATACAAATCAAATAGTTTTCTGGTTGCAATTTTCTAATTTCGACTATGCGTTATGTATGCTTTACGCTTGCACGCATTGAAAGAAATGTTTAATAAAACAAACAAATAAATATTAAGCTTTTTTTTTTTGTAAATTTTGATACCCTTTAGATCATAATTGCTCTTTATTTCATAAATTACGGTTTCATATTTTTAATTTTATAATTTCTGCATGACATCTTACCAGATTTAAACTGATGATCTATAATCCAGAAAAATCGATAATCCGGAATAACCGAAGCGCGGACGAGTCCGGATTAAAGACTTTTGACTGTATTACCATTATTTTTAATGAAATTTATCAATGTTAGGATGTTTTAAAAAAAAATCGTCCAAAAATTCGCAGATCTCGGAATTAAAAGTTTTCTATAGAAACTGATCTTAAAATCACCAAAATGTTGATAAGACGCCAAATTTAGAATTGTTTAATAAAAGAATTCACATCTCCAAAAGCGAAAAGTTGTTTAAGAACTCTTTATTAGAAAAAATTAATTTCGAAACGCTTATATCTCACTTCTTGCTTAGAAACTTGAGTATCCCATCAATTATATTAGAAATAGAAACAAATTATAACCCATTCAAAAGATAACCATATATGCCAGAGAACTGCCGAAAATATTCCTCCAAAATGCTAATTCACACTCAAAATGGCAATTGTAAGAAGAGACAGAAATTGCGGATGATTAAAATTAAGGACCTTCTGCTGATTTTGGCCAAAATTAAGGACTTTTAAGGACCCTTAAGGACCGTACGAACCCTGTTAAATCTCAGAACATACATGTTTAAGTTAATATTTTCTTTTACATAGATGCATTAGTAGAAAAAGAGTTGACTGCATAGTTTTATTATGATAACAACTCATATAAGTTTGGATTTTAAAATTCAAATAAATAATAATAATAAATTTAATGGTCTTACCCAGCTCCTTTTTAATGAAATCTTTCACTTTTTGAGATTTCAAATATGCTTGAGGATTATGAAGACTACAAGTAACATTTACTGCTACATTTATATAATCTGTATATGGTATAATTGCAAAATGACTCTTTACAGAACAATGGAAAAGAAAGGCAGCTGGAATGAACACAGAAGATGCTTGAACTTCTACACAGGGCCAACATTTCAAAATAATCTGACCATTTTTGGTACACAACAGTACAGAATCTCCTTTGATGAAATTCATAATCTTCATTGTCGAAGGATGCATTAGCAGCAAGGTGTTTCTGAAGCTTGGGAGTAATATATTTTCATTTTCTGAAAGAAAATATAAATTAAATGAAGAAGAGTTTAACTTAATAATAATGCTTAAACTTTAATAAAATTAAATACTTATTTGTTAGTGAAAAAGAATGAGGCATCAAAATTTAATAAAAATATTCAGCAAAACTATATGTCCAAAATCTTTTTCCATATCATTGTCTTATTTTGTTGAAATTATCTGATTTAGAACAGCAGTTCTTATAATTTTAGTCGAGATAATGAAACTTTATGTTAAAATTTCCATAAATAAATTAAATAATGCTTAATTGTTAACACTGACAATTTTAACCACCCAATCTGTCATACAAATTTCAAATATTGGCAAACACTTATGCAATGTCTGTTTTAACAACAAATCACTAAAAAAATTCCAAACTATTGAGTTAATAAGTCAGGTAGTTAATAATCTAATACTGAAACACACTAATAATATTTCAAAAGTGATAAAGCTGACTGCTTATATGCACTCAGCTTTATCAAGTATATACAAGGCTGTTTGTCAAAGATATATCCCAGTGTTGAGTATAAACTGGGAACGGTAAAGAAAACAATTATACCTGGAATTATTATTTCCATCCACGGTAAAATAATAGAAAATAATATATAGTGTATAGGTGCAACAACTCCAAAGTTAACAGTACCAATTACAGTGCACAAAATGGATATACACAAATTCTCAAACAAAAATTGTATCGATAACCCTATGTATGAAAAATGCCTTAAAATCATAGAAGCCCATTGAAATCACCACTAAAACTTGTTACAATAAATCACTTTCTTTCAAATTTCCATATCTGGATGGCCATTCCTAAAATTACAACTTAACACAAAAGAAAAATCATAGAAGCATTAAAGATCTGAACGGTCATTTTTAAAAGTATAATAATCTGAACTCCTTGGACATCCTTCCAAAAAGTGATGGGAGGAGAACAAGAAGAGGTAAGACATTATTCAATTTCCACAAGGTAACAAAAAAAAGTTCTTGCTGTTTCTGATATGACATTGATAGAGTGAACCCCAACATAAAAATAGTCGCTAAACCTGGCGATGAAGTGGTTAGGATGGGAGTCTGGACACTGACCAAAAGTATAAAAGCGCATTGCATTGGTACTTCAAACATAACTCACACAGCAACTGATTGAAATTAATGCATCAAAGGCGCTCATTTGGAGTTGTTTGTTGTATCATTTTAAAATGCACTTGTCAGTAGCAGAATCGGCTCTAGTGTAGAATTGGGTGCCCCTTCGATTAACGATAAAGTTTTTTAAAATTTTGGCGATGAAACCTCATTTCTGGTTACCTTGATAGTTTTAACTTTGTTTTAGCTTCCTGGTTTTTTATAAATGAAAATAGATTGATGTGTACATGGACAAATTTAAGGCAGTGCGCAATGCCTAGTTTGTGCAATTCTGGTATTATTTTAAGTGAAAATAGATCGATGTGTACATCGGACACAGAGTTTGTGCAATTCTTTGACTTTTTATTTTGGTTTTGTGTAGCGGCCATCTTGAAATTCTGCCTTCCTGGTGCCGATTTGGTGTCAAAAAAGCTGATACACAGGGAAGTAGATTAGCTTTTGCAAACTCGGCAACTATTTCACATTCATCATCAGATATAGTCTTTCTTTATAACTTGAGCCTTTCTAAAAGATGAAGACAGTTTAAGTTTGTATATTTATAGCATACCCCTCTTAAATATTGTTACAAATGGAATTGTTATACTTTCATATTTGAAATTATGTATAATAGAAAACATTTTAAATTAGAAATTTAATTACTTAAACTCACCTACAAAAGGAAATTTAAAAAGGAGCCATGATTAATTAGCTTAAAATCAGAGCTTTACTTTCAGTACATGTAAATGACAATCATATAAATCCACTTCTTAGTAAGACGATAAGATGAAATAGAAATCATGAATCATGAATATATATTCAGATTATTACAGTTAACTGATTTACTTTAAATTAATTGTTGCATTTCTATTGCTTGCTCTTAAAAGAGGATGTCTAATAACAGCAAAAAAAATTATTGTTTTTTCAAATTTTGAAAATATTAATCTTTATTACGAATGTTTTAGAAGGTGGACTGACTTAACATACAAGTTGGTCGTAATGTAAATAATTTTGGGAAAAGGGTTGCATTTATAAATACAGCCCTTATCCTTAATGTTCCAAAAATAACTGCATAACTCAAATATTTATTACACCTTTCCAACAGCTATGTGAGGGCAATTCAACATTCTAAGACTCAATTCTTTATTATGTAAATAATGATATCTACTATGTAGCAGCATGCAGAAACATGAAAATTTGTATTAGTTGTCAGGACCTGCAGGATGAACTCTCCTGCATGACAATATAAGACCACACATAATCTTCAGTGTCATTATTTTCTCCATAAATAGAATGATTGTGTTTTCCCATCATCCTCCCTCCTACACTCATACATAAAGTACTCTGATCTGTTTCAGAGCAAAAAATCTAAAGAATAACAACATAAGAATATTGAGACTATTCAACAACGAGGGAGCTTACTGCCTTAAAACAAGGCATTTGTTAGCTGTTTCCAAGATCTGCTAAAATATAAGAAACACTGAATATTATGGAGATAGTCACTTCATAGGTGACAGGAGCCAGCACACGGTAAGTTAAATTTTGAATTTTCTATAAACTTTACACAGGACTATACATATTAACCAATCATAATTTTGTTTAAAAATTTAGCATAGCAGCCTAAAGATTTTGAAACACATATATAAAAGTAACTTCTGCTATTATATTTAAGAAAAATAGTCAGTACTTAAAAATATAAATTGGCTAATCTTTGGAATATGGTAACAGGTAGTTTGGTGATATTTTGGTAAGGCGATAAAGGTTACTAGCTAGGAGTTTAGCAGTGTACATGGATAAAGTCAAGTGTGTACGCAATGCCATTTTTGTGTAATTCTGGGATTTTTTTTAAGTGAAAATAGGTCGACGTGTACATGGATACCGTGTATGTGCAATTCTTAAAACCGCAGCAAGCAGTTTGCGATTCTGCACTTTCTCCCAATTTTGCACCTAATCTTTGTTGTGATTAAGCACTTTTATTCCATAAAAGTTCTAGCGATTGAGCTTTGGATTATGGTAACTTGGCGATTTTCTGGTGAAAATTTGGCAACCAACTCTGCTACAGCAACCCTCTATTTTTTTTTCGCTGCCATTTTGTCTTCACGAAGTAAAGACATGTTTCTTTTCTTTTTATTTACTGAACACTTTTTCCAACAATCTACTAGCCGAATTACACTTATGCTAGAAATTTTATGCAACAAAACTGCTTAATCATGACAAATATTAACTGCAAAATTGGGAAAAAGTGCACAATCGCAAACGCCTTGCGCGTTTTTCAGAATACCGCATACACATAAACCATTTACACGTCGACTTATTTTTACTTAAAAAAACATCCCAGAATTGCACAAAAATGGCATTGCACACACTCTTAACTTTATCCATCTACACTGCTATTTTCTCATAAATTACAAAAATTTGCATGAAAATGCAAAAAAATTCTGTGAATCTTTAAACTCGGTAAAAAGCACATATATGAAATTACCTGATCGTGAAAAAGTATATACCCTTTCCAAGGATGAACATTTCCACGTATAAAATAAATAAAATATCCAAAAACTTTTACCTCTAAATTATCTATTATATTATAAACGTCACCAACGAATTCATACCGCAAACATTACAAATGGTTACACATACTTAGTGTCAAATATTTAAATTATTTCCATACATGTTTACTTCAACTGAAACGTATACCAAATTCCTACAAACATAAAATTCACAAAATAACTATCATTTAATTAAAATATCACTAAACCATGTACATGTCGACTTATTTTTACTTAAAAAAACATGCCAGAATTGCACAAAAGTAGCATTGCGCACACTTTTCACTATATCCATGTACACTGCTTTTTTCTCATAAATTAGAAAAATTTCACGAAAATGCATGAAAATTTTCTGAATCTTTAAATCCGGTAAAAAGAACATATATGAAATTACCTGATCGCAAAAAGTATATACCCTTTCCAAAGATGAACATTTCCACGTATAAAATAAATAAAATATCCGAAAACTTTTACCTCTAAATTATCTATTATCTTATAAACGTCACCAACGAATTCATACCGCAAACATTACAAATGTTTACAAATACTTAGTGTCAAATATTTAAATTACTTCCATGCACATTTACTTCAACTGAAACGTATACCAAATTCCTACAAACATAAAATTCACAAAATAACTATCATTTAATTAAAATATCACAAAACCATGTACACGTCGACTTATTTTTACTTAAAAAAAACGGTACTTACGTATTAACGCAACCAGGCCAAATTTGGCGACCCTACTTACGACAACCCTACGTGTTCTACGTAGTTTTTCGTAAATAAATTATTCTTCTTACTGGTTAATTGAATGCTCTGAAATTTTAACTATGGGTATTTAGGATCTGCCCGCGAGTGAAAAAGGATGGTTATTGTTGCAGGGATATGGAAATATACCGAACGAATGTACTTGGTAAAAATTCTCATAAAATGAAACACTATTTTGGAAAGCAAATCTTCTGGAAATGTAACGTCGAAGAGTGCAATCAACATTTGGGTGTGAGAACCGGAAATTGGTTTGAAGGTAGCCGAATTTCATTTGTGACGGCGGTTTCAATCAGTGCTAAAAGCAATAGCCAAAAGATTTCCGCCAAAAAAATAATTCTGCAACTTATTCAAATTCGAAACCGTAAGGGTTTAATTGCTATTTTTTTTAAAAACAAAATAATATAAAAAACTGTATTAAAAATTATCTGTAATTAATAAATGTACATTTTCTTTCTATTCATACTTTTTTACTCAAACTTACAAATCGCGCCAACCTGGTTGCGATAATACTTAAGTACCAAAAAAACATCCCAGAACTGCACAAAAATGGCATTGCGCACACTCCTCACTATATCCATGTACACTGCTTTTCTCTCATAAATTAGAAAAATTTCACGAAAATGCTTTAAAATACTCAACGTATTCTACTCAAACGTATTCCAAAATACTACAAACATATAACTCACAAAATCATGATCATTAAATTAAAATATAATTAAATTAAAAACACTACTTAAAATATAAATAAGCACATACATTAAATTAATAAAAATTAGATTACAATCCTAATTACTTTAAACTAAATCATTGCTAATAACAATTTTCCAATAATATCATATTAATTTATTTACTCCTTACATTTAGAACAATGCATAAAAATAATATCCTCAAATGATTAAAAATACTAACTTAACTAATCTTCAGAATCTTCATTACGTGCCACGCACACTTCCACTATTTCACACAACACACAATGAAGCTTAATACAAAATAATATAGTACTACAGTTTTCCAAATTCCCCCCCTCCTTTTCCGATTAAAGAACTGTATTTCGTCCATTAATGTCACATGACATATCTCATGATCTCTCATTTCCCTCACACAAATTAATGCGTAATCGGAACTGAGTACTTCTCACATTATTACCAAAGTCCTAGGTAGTAACCTTTATCGCCTCCAAAATGTCGCCAAACTACCAGTTACCATATTCCAAAGATCAGCCGTTCTAGCATAAGCGTAATTCGGCTAGCAGATAGTTGGAAAAAAATGTCGAGTACAAAAAAAAAATGGCTTTACTTCGTGGAAACAAAATGACGTCCAAACAAAATCTAGCAGGTTGCTGTAGCAGGGTTGGTCGCCAAAAAATTGCCAAGTTACCATAATCCAGAGATTAATGTATAAATCAGCAAGCTTACACCTAATTTGAACAATTCAAGCATTAATAAAGTTAAATATACTCTGCCATGACTACCAGTTACCATATTCCAAAGATCAGCCGTTGGAAAAAAATGTCAAGTACAAAAAAAAAAAAATGGCTTTACTTCGTGGAAACAAAATGACGTCCAAACAAAATCTAGCAGGTTACTGTAGCAGGGTTGGTCGCCAAAAAATTGCCAAGTTACCATAATCCAAAGATTAATGTATACATCAGCAAGCTTACACCTAATTTGAACAATTCAAGCATTAATAAAATTAAATATACTCTGGCATGACAACTTACTGTTCTTACAGTTCATATTATAAAAAGGATGTGATAAATTATAAAACAAATACAAGCAAACATTCATTAGTAATCTGGATAATCTTCTAAAAGATGAAGACATTAAGTTTGTATATTTATAACATACATCAGCTAATCTTTGGAATATAGTAACAGGTAGTTTAGCGACATTTTGGTAAGGCGATAAAGGTTACTAGCTAGGACTTTAGCAGTGTACATGGATAAAGTCAAGTGTGTGCGCAATGCCATTTTTGTGCAATTCTGGGTTAATCTTCGGATTATGGTAAGGCATGTTTTCTTTTTTTCTAAACATTTTTTTCCAACAATCTACTAGCCGAATTACGCTTATGCTAGAACTTTTATGGAACAAAAGTGCTTAATCATGACGAAGATTAGGTGCGAAACTGGGAGAAAGTGCTGAATCGCCCACTGCTTGCCCCGTTTTCAAGAATTGCACATACACGGTATCCATGTAGACGTCGACCTATTTTCACTTAAAAAAAATCCCAGAATTGCACAAAAATGGCATTGCGCACACGCTTGACTTTATCCATGTACACTGCTAAAGTCCTAGCTAGTAACCTTTATCGCCTTACCAAAATGTCGCCAAACTACCTGTTACCATATTCCAAAGATTAGCTTGAACCACTAAGACTCTGCAGTTTTATCCACTAGACAGCAAATCAGCCCTAATAATCACGAAGACAGCTGTGAAAAAAATTTCCCAATTACATGAATAAAGAAAAATTCTATAAAACAGATAGTACATCCCTGAATTTACTTAAGGTATGCCGCACAAAAATTATATAATTTAGTATTTCATACACAAGTCTCCACACTTTCTAGTTCTATCCTGCGTTTATTGCTTTATACATTTTTAAATTTTGCAATTAGAAAATTATCAAGTGCATAATAACCATCTAGTTCATGTGTGGTTGCATAAAATACTCCTTTCCAAATATATCCGTGTGGCAGATGTGAAGTGCTATTTGAGTTAGTGGCACCACCGCAAATTTGTTGATGGATGCCAAAGTCTTGAAAACTGACAAGAATATTACAATGGATACATTGCTTCCAAACCTCAATTGCATTATGCATTGTTTTATTCTTTATACCAATATCCAATTATATAAACTTATACAGTCTTCTACTTCATTGGAATCTTAATTGTAAACAAACAACATGCAACACAAACTGTGGCCAAATAATGAAAACTGAAGTATTTACTACTTGGACAGACAGACCGCATTGAACTTACTGTTTAGTCCCTGATCCAACAGTTAACTTATTAATATGGAATTTATAAAGATTTAAATAAAAAACTGACAAATTTTTAAATATATTTAATTTTATAATTATAAGATGTTAATATGATCTGTGGATATCTTTCGAACTGAAAAGTAACAAGTGTTAAATACACGCGTCAACTAAGCTAAAAGACCTAACAATAAGGTGCATTAGAACATGTTTTAAGTTTGTAGAATGTTTGTACGTGTTTATAAATTTTGAAGAGAAATACCGGTCCAGTTTTCATAATGTATTCAGACGATAAAGGTAAACTGTTATCAATATTCCTTTTTTCTAAATACTGTTCTGTTTATTGATTTGACAAGTGATTGTTTTCGCTTTTATTTTCTTTGTATGCAGACAAAACAGAAATTTGATTAACATGGTTTTAATTACGCAGAGTACGGTAAAATCCTAGTATACGGTGCGGCCTTGGCGCGATTTTTAAAATTGTCGCCAACACCAAAATGATGCGTTTACGTTTGTTGCCAAATTTTTGGCAATCTCAAAGTAAAGCGTCACCACAAGTTTGAGTTGGCAAAAAAAGTAAACAAAATGATAATCATAAGATAATAAGGTAGATCTTTACATTATGGTAACTTGGCGATTTTTTGGCGAAAATTTGGCAACCAACTCTCCTACAGCAACCTCTATTTTTTTTCGCCGCCGCCATTTTGTCTTCACGAAGTAAAGACATGTTTCTTTTCTTTTTATCTACTGAACACTTCTTCCAACAATCTACTAGCCGAATTACACTTATGCTAGAAATTTTATCAAACAAAACTGCTTAATCATGACAAATATTCACTGCAAAATTGGGAAAAAGTGCACAATACCATACTCCTTACGCGTTTTTCAAAATAACACATACACATAAACCATGTACACGCCGACTTATTTTTACTTAAAAAAACATCCCAGAATTGCACAAAAATGGCATTGCGCACACTCTTCACTATATCCATGTACACTGCTTTTTTCTCATAAATTAGAAAAATTTCAGGAAAATACATGACAATTTTCTCAATCTTTAAACCCGGTAAAAAGAACATATATGAAATTACCTGATCGCGAAAAAGTATTTACCCTTTACAAATATGAACATTTCCACATATAAAATAAATAAAATATCCAAAAACTTTTACCTCTAAATCATCTATTACATTATACACGTCACCAACGAATTCATACCACAAGCATTACAAATACTTAGTGTCAAATATTTAAATTATTTCCATGCACGTTTACTTCAACTTAAACGTATACCAAATTCCTACAAACATAAAATTCACAAAATAACTATCATTTAATTAAAATATCACTAAACCATGTACACGTCGACTTATTTTTACTTAAAAAAACATCCCAGAATTGCACAAAAATGGCATTGCGCACACTCTTCACTATATCCATGTACACTGCTTTTTTTCTCATAAATTAGAAAAATTTCATGAAAATACATGACAATTTTCTCAATCTTTAAACCCGGTAAAAAGAACATATATGAAATTACCGGATCGCGAAAAAGTATTTACCCTTTCCAAATATGAACATTTCCACATATAAAATAAATAAAATATCCAAAAACTTTTACCTCTAAATCATCTATTATATTATAAACGTCACCAACGAATTCATACCGCAACCATTACAAATACTTAGTGTCAGGTATTTAAATTATTTCCATGCACGTTTACTTCAACTAAAACGTATACCAAATTCCTACAAACATAAAATTCACAAAATAACTATCATTTCATTAAAATATAATTAAATTCAAAAACACTACTTAAAATATAAATGAGCACATACATTAAATTAATTAAAATTACCTTACAATCCTAATTACTTTAAACTAAATCATTGCTAATAACAATTTTCCCAATAATACCAAATTCCTTTCCACCTTACATTTAGAACAATGCATAAAAATAATATCCTCAAATAATTCAAAATACTAACTTACCTAATCTTCTTCAGAATCTTGATTACGTGGCGGATACACTTTTCTAATTCATTCAATAAAATTATTGAAAGATTTTTTCTGCGAATTTTTCCTCCATACTTCCTCCGCTAAATAAAAAGCAAACTTCTCTTTATCACAATGCCTAAATATCTATTTCGAATTCACTTTAGTTAGGGCCATGGGATCCAAAAATTAACCAACACTGTTTCACACAACACAGAATAAAGCTAAATACAAAATTTCCAGATTTTTTCCCTGATTTCCCCCCCTTTTCCGATTAAAGAACCGTAATTCGTCCATTAATATCACATGACATATCCCATGATCTCTCATTTCCCTCACGCAAAATAATGCGTAAATCGGAACTGAGTACTGCTCACATTATTACCAAAGTCCCAGGTAGTAACCTTTATCGCCTCCAAAATGTCGCCAAACTACCAGTTACCATATTGTAAAGATCAACCGATAATAAATCCTAAGCATACGGTGAGACACAAGAAAAAAAGCAAGCATTTAGAAATTGAAAATAATTTTTAACAGACCTTTATAACAATAAAAATATAATTTTCAACATGCATCGCAACAAATACAAAACATTCACATATCAAATATAATAAATTAAATATCATGGCTCAGTGTCTCATATGTTTTAGGGTCTATATCATAACTCAAATGCCATGGTCCTCAAACTCGGGTGGCGGATATATTGCTTTTATTGCGTCAATATTGCTTTTATTGCAAATATAAAGTCTTTAATTATTTCGGATGACGATTTATTATTTTTGAGGCGCCGCCACATATATTCCACCAAATAAAAGTCAAACTCTTCGCTTACCTTTTTCGTCCCCTTCATCCCACGCTTAATAGCACTCCACGTTCCTTCCAAATCCTAGTACGGTGCGGCCATGGCGCGATTTTTAAAATTCGGCAGCAATCCGGCATCTACTGCCCATTGAATTACAGCAAGCTTTCCTTCCAGTTCTAACTTCCAAAAAAATTTCGTGTTTAAATATTCGCAATTCATAGCACTGCACATCATAATCGAAAAGTAACGTTATCCAACTGTAGAACAAAATACGTTAGCAAAGAGAACTGTAGAATAAAAGACGATATCAAACTAAAATCATATTCAGTATCTGACCAAAAATCGATTAATTAAAAAATATTAACCAATCACAAACTCGGCGGAACCACTACTGTTATTTTAAAAAATACAAAAAATAAGAGATAAATAAATTTTACCTGAACATATGTTATCCTTTCTCATTCAGTTCAGCCGAAGACAGAGGATTAACGGAACTTCAAACAATGGTTTGAAATAATTCTTCTCTTCCAACTGCACCAATCAAAACTTCTCAATTTAATATATTTAATGAGTGCGCGAAAATGCTCCCAAATGCACTCTCCTCCAGAGCATTCAAAATCGGCTTGGTTACCACAATTGGCGCGCTTATTAGTCTCTTAAACCCAAATTTCGCCAACTCTCATGTGCACCGTATACTAGGATTAAGCCCTGTTTTCAGACAATAAAGGTAAACTGTTATCAATATTCCTTTTTTCTAAATACTGTTCTGTTTTATTGATTTGACAAGTGATTGTTTTCGCTTTTATTTTCTTTGTATGCAGACAAAACAGAAATTTGATTAACATGGTTTAAATTACGCAGAGCCAATATTTGTGACTTGTATATAAAATCATGATGAAGTAAATAATGAGCGGAAAAAATTAAAGGCACAGTAATCATGAAGACTATTTAATACTATGTGGCGACATCTTTTGCAATACTGAAAAGCCATCTATCCAACTCTTCACGTTGCGACTATTTTTGCTTAAGTGGCAGTAGTACGAAGAGTTCAGAATGAAAAATAAACATAAGAATTTGTTTTCAAAAAAGAAAATCGTTATCATTTGTTTTATGCTTGTTCTCCAGTTAATAAATATATTTAATGAAGTTTCTTCTCTACAGTATGTTAATACATTTGTCCTTAATCAGCGAACCTATAAATTAGTGATCCCATTAATAGCCAGGGTCAGTCTAAAAATTCATCCTTTTTGGTTTCTTCAGATCAAAGCACAATTCTTCAAGTACTGCTGATCAAACAAAATATAGTCAAAAGTCTTTAATCCGGACTCGTTGGGACTTCGGCGATTCCGAATTATAGATCATCAATTTAAATCTGGTAAGATGGCATGCAGAAATTCATGGTTTCATATTTTGAACCGTAATTTATGAAATAAAGAGCAATTATGATCTAAAGGGTATCAAAATTTACAAAAAAAAAAGCTTAATATTTATTTGTTTACTTTATTAAACATTTCTTTCAACGCGCGCATGCGTAAAGTATACATATGCATAGTCGAATTTAGAAAATTGCAACCAGAAAACTATTTGATTTGTATTCGTGATATTTATAATGTTACGTAGTAAAAAAAAATTTTTTTTGGTTGTTGTTTTAATACCTTAAACTTTATAACTTAACTGACTGACTGTGGTGCCGGATAAATTAACAACAAAAAAAAACATCAAATATCAAATAATTCACATTCAAAATCTAATTCATAATATTCATATATCATTTCGACATTCTTATAAACACTCGTATATCATATCTATCAATCAATCGTATAGTGGTAGTACAATTTAACGTTTAAGGTTTGCGTTGTGAGTAACCTATGTAAAAGGAAATATCAATAACTCCAAATTCAATTAAACTCCATGTTTCTTAAAAGCCTCCCGGCTCAAACAAATGGAGGGACATGACAGACCACAGTAAATTATACGCTACATAAATACACAAATGCAATTAAATTTTAAACACACATTTATTAAATTCTTGAATATATTATATAATTAAATAATGGATAACTGATCAGTATCCTACAACATATTTTTACTCTGAAAAGTAACACATAATGTCACACGCATTTACAGCTTACAAAAATTAATATACCTTAAGATGGAAAATAACACATATCTCATTCCAAAATTAACATACTCATATTAATTTGTAAGTTTACTATTTTTGACGTTCAATAGCTCACTAATTAAGCCGGTAAAACAAATCTTTAAACCTTCCTTTACAGACTTTAAATTAATTAGTCATTATTCAAAATATTCTAATCATTTAGTAGTTTACATATATAAAATAAATAATTTCCGTTTAAGTAATTTGAAAAGATAGAGAGGTAGACAAATTTAAAAATCACTCACAGATGGAAGACAGTTTTTCTGGATTGAAGAATCTTTAGTGTCCAATCCACTTGGAAATGAGCTAAAACAATTTTTTTTTTTTTTTTTTTT